CAAATTGTTTGGAAATAACTTTTGACCCTTCTCCAGATTGATGGGCAGCAGCAATATCTCCTCTAAGGTCACTGCTGATGTCTTTCCTCCTTGGCATAACGTTCTCTCTCTCTCTCTCTCTCTCTCTCTCTCTCTCTCTCTCTCTCTCTCTCTCTCTCTTTCTCTCACTCACTCACTCACTCACTCACACACACGCATGCACACACACACACACACGCACACGCGCACACAGAGGGGGAAAGATAGAGAGGTACACACTGGTAAAAACCACCAATATTTTATATAAACTGAAAAAGTGTGATTTTTTTTTCTCACCATCACTGAAACCAGGCCAACTTGTACAAAATATTGTTTAAAATCCAAAGCAAACAAGAAAACAAATGAGCCCATTTTATCTCCTATTTAGTAAGTTATAAATCTAGTTTTGCATAATTTCTCCTGTCCTGAATCAAAACTTGACTGACTTAAATGAACACTTGATTATATGCATATCATTAATGCAATATTAAATGTGGCTGACCTATACTAAAGGTAAGTCTGCCATTTTCAATAGCACAAGTATGCCTGAGCCATAAAACATCAATTCATTTATTCCAAGTTTTAAAAGTTTTTTCTATTTTTTACTACCTCCTACCCAATCTTACCTTGGCCTTGCAATGAGGCTGTAGAGGTTGCATTTATTACAGCATTTTTAGATTTTCCCAACTGTTTTAATCCACAGAGCCCAAGGTTGTTCACTGCACCTTAAAGTTTGTCAACATGTTACCAGCTAAATTTGAGCATTTCTCAGGTGAAAGTTTGAAAAACAGCCTAGAGCTTGCAGGATTACTCTTTGTTGGTTCATCCCAAACTTGGATTGAGTTGTGCTGCAATCTTTTGCCCATAACTGCTGTTGGCAGTGTGTTTAACTCGATTTTGTGCCTTCAAACCTTTACACACGGGACACTCATGTTGCAGCAGCTGCTTTAAACATTGTTGTTCAGACATTTCCTTCCTGTGTTCTAACATGACATCTGAGGCGTCAGCACCACGGTCCAGACTCCACCACACAACTGCTGCACAGCTTTCAGTCTGTGGACGCTACCGGTGGGCAGCCTCACCTCTTCTCTCCCTGTCCACCTTTCATATGTGTAACAGGTGCTATCAGATGCATGATTATGAGCAACAGCAGTCCAATGGGAAACCATCTGTTTCACAGCATGCTGGTGTTCTGTTTAACCGGACTGTCTTTCTCTTAAAACTTAACTCCTTCAATAGGAGCTTTTTCCTGGACGACGACTTTAGATTTTCTGACAAAGAACAATCTACATATCAAAGCAGTTACTTTAATGGTCATTTAAACAAACCAAAATGAAATATATTAGCACAGAGATACTTATGTACAATACATTCTAGAGAGTAGAGTAGATATTGTTGTCCCAGAACATTGCCAGTTCTAAAAAACTCTAAGAAATGCAATGAGTGTATCTTTTCTTGGTCTAAACTAATAATGTACAGGCTGTATGTGCATAATGCAGCTTTCACACCTGCCCTGCTCATGAAAATGTGTGAATGTGTCGCTTCCTATATGTATGTCGATGGTCGCTTCCCACATTAAAGAAAAATCAAGAGCCAGAGCAGAACTGGATCTTTGGGTTTGATGAGAAGATGTAAAGGATTTTCATGATGAATAAATTTATAATGTTCCAACAAATCTACTGTTGCTCAACCACATTTTATCTAATTGATCTAGATTTATTTTAAAAGTAAACAGCGTTGTTTATTTATTGTGTTTAATCAGAAAGCCAGTAGCTTGATTACACATACCTATCTTAACATCTTATTTTAAACAAATCAAACTCAACAAACTGTAAGTGATGTTGGACTTAAACACCTCATTGACCACTTTACATTTGGTCACTACTGCATCCCATTTTTCCATCCATCCATTTTCTTTCGCTTGTCTGGAGTCGGGTTGCGAAAGCAGCTGCTTAAGCTGAGAGGCCCAGACTTTGCTCTCGCCAGCCACTTGGGCCAGCTCTTCCAGCTGTTCTCTGGCCAGCCCTGAGCCTTAGGGTGTTTCTCAATGCCAAGGAACCTCGCCTTGATGTCTTGGGCCCTCCCCAGTTGCCTAGGAGATACGTCATCAGGAGCTGCCAAGATGTGAAATGTTCATGTTCTTCCGAGGCGTGTGTTCTCAGTTTGTTAGCCGTTTAGCTAGCTGAGCAAGGATACACGGGGGGTGTCTTGTAGCCTGGCCTTGGTCAAACATTTCCCATAATTCACTGCGTAATTTTCTAAAGGACGGCGGATCAGAAGCCGGCAGCTGCTTCGGGGGCAAATTTCAAATTTAAAGTAAGTCAACTAATTTTAAATGTTTTCTTTAGATCCAAAGAAGTTATCTATGGTTGGTTAGTTGCTTATTAGTTGCAGCTTTAGTGGCTAGCAGGTAGTAACTTGCTTACACATTTAATTTAACTCATATATACACAATTTAAAAAAAGTAAAAGGCTCGTTATACATTTTATATTGAAACGTCTACGTATAAATTTAATGTTATCTCCTGTGTCAAGTGACATTACATGACCGCCATGGAAGCTCTCTCTTCGCCACAACAGACCAACAACGGCTGTATCACTGCAGATGCAGATCCAATCCGCCTATCGATGTCACGCTCCAGCTTTTCCTCACTGGTGAACAAGACCCTGAGATATTTAAACTCCTCCACTTGAGGCAGGACCTCGTCTCTGACCTCGAGAAGCAATTGTACCCTTTTCCAACTGGAGACCATGGTCTCGGATTTAGAGGAGCTGATTCTCATCCCAGCTGCTTCACACTTTTTTATTGAAATTTTTTTTAGCAAATAAACATCTGTTGTATTGTATCATGGAGTGAATAGTAGCTGTGTCAGCAGAAACTTCCACCGAGTCTTCATCTAATGTTTTGTGGGGGGAAAATGAACCCCATTCAGATTTCTTCTGTTTTGTATTTTCTGTCTCAGATCAACAAACACAGACAATGATAATCTGAGGAAACCATTTCATTTATACAAAAACAAACCTATCCAGAACAAACTGGTCCTTTCTGACAAAGTGACTGGCCCCATTGTCAAATCAGTATATTTAAATTAGAGCCCATCACCACACCCAGGCCCATTACTGCCAGTTTTAAAGAATTAAGTACTTCCTTTGTATAATCTTGCTCACTCAAATACCTTGTTATCTCCCAAGAAACAATGTCTTCTTTGTTTTTATGATCACGCTTTTAAGTTTGAGTTTTTGGAAATAATGTTCACACTTTCAGTGTCTATTTCCTGATTAAAAAAAAATGAGATTGTGATAACTGCTTTATACACCAAGTATGATACTGACTAATTATAGGCACTTTACATAACCTTACTAATAACAAAATCAAGGTGTCATAAAAAAACTAATTTATCAGAAGCGTTACTGCTAATGGAGCTGTGGTTAAAACGCTAGATGTGATTTCAGGTGTTACACAAACTGCCATGCAGCTTAAAATAACTTATTAGGCTCTAATACAGCTTGTTGATTGCCGTTAACAAGATATGCTGTGTGCAGCATTGTTGTAGTTGTGCAACAAGTGCTGTTCAGACCTATGACATTCTTCTGAAAGTCTGTTTTCTCTCAGTGGAAGCCTTTTTACATTAACATTATTATCCATCTACTAACAGTTAATACATTTGTGTCAGTTTTGCTTCAGAACTGTGTTTATTAAAATGATCTGTCTTAACTAAATCTACTCCGGTACCACAGAAAATAAATGATTAGCATTTTCCTGTGTAGAACCATCAACTTCTTCTTCATGCACACTGAAATTGTAGTAAATGTTTTAACTGGTTTAAACTTGTATTTTATTTATCTTTAATAAATTCCATGACTTGGCTAATTCATCGATATTAATACTGAAATTGACAATATTCAGAGCTCGCCATACACACCACTAGCATTCGAATGAAGCCAGCTTCACTTTTGCTGGGCAACCATCTCATATGAGCTCTGGAACACCAATAGAAAAGTCACAAAGGCAATTGTGTGAGCCATTTGGTGCCATCTGGGTGGCGAGGATGTCAACATGACAAACAGGCTCTTCCTAGACTATTCTTTCTCTTTAAACGGCACATTATTGTTTCCGGAAGACATGACTTGAGAGAGAAAAAGCACTAGAGTTTTCAGAGTATTATAATATTCTTTAAGCAGTTCTAAGTCTTCAAGGGTGTGGATCACTGAAAACATATTTTGTAATTATTATTTCTGACTTTAATCGGTCACTTTGAGTTTTTCATGCAGGCTGAACATGAAAATAATCTCCTACACCTATATCGTGAATTAGCTTCTGACGGTGAAAGATTTGAAAAACCTGACAGATCTAAGCACTTAGCATTCATTAACTCACCCATCTTGACTCACGACAGGGAAGGCTGTTGTGGTTTAGCGTCCAGGAAACAGCAGAGAATATCTCGACTAGCAGAAGCCAATCATTAGCATTAGCAACTCCACCACATGGCAGAACTTCTTCATGCTTTTGGTATTTGTGGAGATAAAACATCAGAGTTGCATAGCAAACAGAGTCAGCGGGAAAGTCCAAATCTTGTTATCTGAAGCTACTTTCTCCTCCAGCTGACTTCTACGTCCTCAAACAGGCACAACGGAGCTTTTTATTCCCCAAGGTATACAAGCCATTTAATCCTGCCAGAGACCACTACAAATGTATTGATTAAATGAGTGACCCACATCTTCAGATTTTTCTGATCTGTAATAAGTAATAAGTAATAGTTTTATCCTGTACTGTGACATTAGGTAGGTAATACATAAACATAGCAGATGTGCACCATTGCAGGTGTTAACCCCCCCCCCCCCCCCACACACACACACACATTACTGAAAAATGTGTTGTATATATTCACCCTAACCCTTTTGTACTCATTTAAACATTCAGTGTTAAAATAAACAAACCACAAAATAAAATCTGAATTTCTAATAATGATACATTCAAATATATTGGAAAAGAAGAATTGTAATTTTTATTTGTATTCATGTACAGTATGAACTACAATCTCAGGTATCAATAATTGAACATCATCCTCAAGGAAATTAGTTAGACTCCTTACAAGCACTGCCTTTTTTCTTGTTTTTGTTTAGCATTTTTTGTCTTTTTTTAACAACAGGAGCACATGTAAAATTATGATCTGAATACTTTTTTTGTTCTTTTTTTGCATTATGTTTTTGAAAATATTTTTTGTAAAAATTTAGCCATGTGATGATTTTTCTCTCCAAAAATGAGAGAGAATGTCTCCACATACAATAACCCTTCCCTTACATGGACAGTTGGCAGAATGACACGCAAGAACTTGATCACCTTGGCTGAGGGCTTTGCACAAAAAACAAGCTCAGTCTGCTGGTATGTTGAGTCCAACACTGTCTCACAGTCTTCATTCAACTCCATTCCAGCATTTTTTTTATCTCTGCACATACGCCATCCTGCCTAAGTGACTACAGGTACACAGATATCCCATTCATCCTGATTAACTCACAACCCTCAAATATATATATGAAAAAATCAGAACTTTTTTTTCACTGTGGCCAGCAAGAACACTGAATCATTACTCCACCAAAAGCATTGAAAATGAATTGAGCATTGAAAAAAGAAAACAGTGAAAAGGGAAAGAATGGCTTACTCGCTGCCATCACCATTTACGGCACTTCTGTTCCTCACGGTAAAAGGCTGATGGTGAGTACTTCCTGTTTCAGTGACTAATCTTTCTTTGATTGTCCATCCTTAATGCATGACCAATCAGAAAATGCATTTTCTGTTTCCTTCTTCTTTTTATAACAACATTAACATAACAGACACAGTAAAAAAATGCAAACCAAACCAGAAATAAGACAAGGAATTGTATGACAAAATGATCAAGAGTTGAAAATGATGATGGGACTAACAAAGAGAGCAAAAAAGAGATATTGTTACTTTAATACGAGGTTATTATTTGCGATGCCATGGGTTAGTCAAGTCCAAAGCTATGCATAAACACCATCAAGCCACATTTGTTAACAATCTGTTTCATTTCTGAATTTGCCAGTAGGAAATTAAAATACGCTTGTTGCACCGAGAACAAAGCAAAAGGCATATCTACCTCTTCTTACTTTCTGCTCAAAGTCACTGTTTCCATGGCGACAGGCTGATGGCTAGTTTGCGTCCTTATTTCTTATCTATTTTCCTCTTCTCTCCCCTCATATCTGCAGTATCTCTGTTTGAAGACCCTTTATGATCATCGTTGGCATTAATATTGCTCCTCTCTCCCAAAACCGCTGTCCTTTTTTCTCACTCCTAATTTCCCCTTGTTTAAGCTGTCTTTATTTCTAATGCTAAATGGACAGCATGTAAGTAAACTGAAAGAGAGCCATTGTTTTGATGATCCATAAACAATGCAGCATCAAAGTGTCTGTGTGTTTTTCATCTGCCAAAAATGAGACTGAGCAGGGGTCGCTTCAATATCAAAAGCCTCTGCCCCCTGTGAGATATTAGGCACAAAGTCTCACGCTGCTTTCTTATCAGCTTTCTTCTGTTAGTCTGGAAATGAACTGCTGATACAGATTAATGAGCTACAACCCATCTTCTCCTATTTTGTTGCAGGTTCCTAGCTGCTTCACTGAGTACGTTAGCCCTGTCTGCATTTCGTCTGACAGGGTCACACTACATTACAAAGCAGCCTCATTTGCCTTTTTATCTGTACTAACAGATGGACTATCAGCGCCTGAACTCGTGTGACCCTGGGGTGATGGCAAGGTGCTGCAACACAGAGAGGACGTAGATCATTACCAGGTTAACAGGGAGGCTACGGACCACAACCTTATGCTACCTTTTATTTTCCTAAGAAATATTCTGCCGTTGTGCAGCGCGCACACAAGAGGGGACAGGCTAGACAAATGAGAGATGGTGACGAGTGAGGGACGTGCTCAAGCTCAGTGACACAGATGAAAATGAAGCAAAACAGAAAAGAGAAAGTGAAGAGGAAACAAGGATAAGATCGACCTGGACACTGAATAATTCAGATATAAAAAGAGAGATCAGAAGGAAAACGGTTAAGGGTAAAAGTCTAGAGAAAACTGAGGAGGGGGAATGAGAGCAAGACCTTTATCGTAATTAAAGTGAAGGATGTATGGCTGTTGTTTAGGAGCCACGGGGGAAATGTGCATCTACTCATTTGCTAGATTTGCTCCACAGGCATGCTGGTTTCACTGTGATATAATCCAGAGCTGTGTCGTTTAATCATCTAATCTCATTTTGAGTGACATCTAGATTATTATGGAAAGGAGAATACCCCAACATTTTAGTTTGAAGTGTTATAAAGTTCCTCTACAACAAATGTAGTCTTCTGAGTAACTTTCAAATAAATGCCCGAGCAAAATACATATTTTTTTAGCTCAATCAATACATTTGGATTAATGACACTGCATCCATTCTAGCACAGGAGCAAAACCAACATTGGTGTTCTAAGCAGCTTTTGATGCCTTTCAGATTCACTTTTAATAAACCATTCTTTCCCTTGAGCAGTATTACACACAGAGAGAGAAATAAAATGAGCTAAAAAGCTATCACAAATTGTTTTTCGTCATTTGGCCACTAGACATATTTCAATAAATAATCTTGGTTTTTGTAAAGATCCTTTTTAAAGTATCATATTTGTCCCTTTGCCAAATGCTGATTAAGTGCCACAGTCAAGATCAACTGTCAAGTCAACAGCGTTTTATGTATTTTACTGTTATTAATTTTTTTCATTTTAAAGTTTTGATCCATTGTATCCCAAGTTTAAAACCGGTAATAATGGATTTGATCTCAAATTCATTAGATTTGCGTCTCTTGGACATTGTCTTTTGAGCAAGCTTGAATCAGTAAAGGTTCTTGTGTGGCTGAGCTGTGTATGGCACTGAGCATTGGAGGGTGGTGGTAAGTGCTCTTGTAGGTATTGTAGTGGTTGTAGTGCTCCAATGGAGGAAGTGATAGATGTCTCTCCATAGCAGCAACACCCGCAAGCTCTTCTTCAACAGTAATGACTTCCATGGAGGACGCCGGGCCATCGGGGTCCTGTTGATTATGCTGCTTCCTCATCTTGTAGAAAATAACCAACAGCACAGCAGCCATAAGAGTAATGGCCACAAAGCAGCCAATAATAATCTTGGTGGTTTTCATCACCTCATCTAGACCATTGAGGGCTCCCTCTCCATCCCGATCAAGAACTGGAATAGTGTAAGTCCGCTCTGTGGTCCGTGTTGAAACTGGAGTGCCCTTTGTAGTTGAAGATGAGGCCCAATCAAAGGGGGGAAGTAATGTTTGGCCATCATCCCCAGGATTCTCAATCGTCTCCACGGTTACTGTCGTAAAATAGGTTACTCCACTGTTTTCCACGGAAGTAACATTGAGCACAGCAGATGCAGAAATGTTGCCTGCTGTGTTGCTAACCATGCAGGTGTAAGTCCCAGTGTCCTGCATTGTCACACTAGTAAAGTTTAATGTCCCATCATTGAGTACAGACAATCGCACCTTATAAGCCCCATGGGTTACCAAAGAGCCATTTGGTGTGAGCCAGGAGATGGAGGTCAGCGAGCTTGTACGACATTTAAGCTCAGCACCCATGCCTTCAGTTACATTCAAGTCACTCGGTGGCTCTACAATGACTGGGATATCACACTGAAAGTAGCTGTGGTCCAGTTCTCCAATGTAGCGACCTTTGAAGGCTGAAGGAGTATAGCAACGTGCACAGCAGCTGGTGTTGGCCGGTACGGTTTCCTTAAGCCACCAGCTAAGCCACAAAATATCACAGTTGCAGTTCCAAGGGTTGTGATGAAGGTGGACTCTTTCCAGACGATGCAATGGTGTAAAGAGGTCATGTGGTAAAAAGGTCAGGTTGTTGTGAGCCAGGTTCAGCTCCACCAGTGACTGAAGATCATCAAAAGAATTTCTCTCAATAGTTTGGACCTGGGCATGCATCATCCAAAGCTTCTGAAGGTTCACCAACCCTGCAAATGAGCTGGGCTTGATAACAGTTAGCTGGTTACCAGACATTTCTAGCTCTTCTAGCCTAATTAAAGGTAGGATGTTAGGGATCTCCTTGAGGTTACACATTCCCAAGTTCAAGTAGCGCAGGTTGCTCAAGTCCTTGAATGCCCCATCAGAAATGTAGGATAGACGCTTAAGCTCACCTAGATCAAGCCTTCGAAGAGAGGGAACCCGGCTGAAGGCATATGATGGTATACTTTCGATGGGGTTGTTCCTTAGCCACAATTCCTTAAGCTTGGACAAGTACTCAAATGCTCCATTGGGGATTGTCATCAGTCGATTATCAAAGAGCTCCAGTGTGTTGAGACTGGCAAGCCCATTAAAAGCCCCAATTTCTATGCTGCGAATATGATTCTTGCTCAGTTGCAAGATCTCCAGGTGGCGCAGATGCTTGAAACTGTCCACTTTGATTACTTGGATAAGGTTATCCTGGAGATTCAGGTACCGGGTATTGGTAGAAATGCCATCTGGAACGTCCCGTAGACCACGCCTAGTGCATATGACTTTGCTGAACTGGTTACTGCATGAGCAGACAGAAGGACAGGTTTGAGCACGGACTAGTCCAGCCACCACCAGGATCTGAAGGGCCAAAAGCAGCACAAAGAGGGGGTTGGACAGCGCCCCCTTCAGCCTACGACCTCTCATTGTCTGGCGCTGGAGGGAGGAGATCATTGTGTTCAGCATTCATAGTTCATCTGGTGTTTGTGTTCTCTGAAAAAAAAAAAAAGACAAAAAAGATCAACATTGTTAAAAACTATGTAAAAACTATGTAAAATATTAAGGAGTTTAGAAGTGATACATTCAATCAATAACATCAATCAATAATCATCCGTCCATCCATCCATCCATCCATTTTTGTCCACTTATCCGGAGTCGGGTTGCGGGGGCAGTAGCCTAAGGCGAGAGGCTCAGACTTCCCTCTCTCCAGCAACTTGGGCCAGCTCCTCTGGGGCAATCCCAAGGCATTCCCTGGCCATGTGAGAGACATAGTCCCTCCACCGTGTTCTGGGTGTACCTTTAGGTCTCCTCCCCGGCTGGACCTGCCCGGAAAACCTCATCAGAGAGGCATCCAGGAGGCATCCTGACCAGATGCCCGAGCCACATCAACTGGCTCCTCTCGATGTGGTGGAGCAGCGGGTCTACTCCGAGCCCCTCCCGAATGACCAAGCTTCTCACCCTGTCTCTAAGGGAGAGCCCAGCCACTCTTCGGAGAAAACTCATTTTGGCCGCTTGTATCCGCGATCTCGTTCTTTCGGTCACTACCCATAGCTCATGACCATAGGTGAGGGTAGGAACGTAGATCGACCAGTAAATCGAGAGCTTTGCCTTCTGCCTCAGCTCTCTCTTTGCCACAACAGACCGGTACAACGCCTGCATCACTGCAGATGCAGCACCAATCCGCCCATCAATCTCACGCTCCAGTTTTCCCTCACTCGTGAACAAGACCCCGAGATACTTAAACTCCTCCACTTGGGGCAGGACATCATCCCTGACCCGGAGAAGGCATTCTTCCCTTTTCCTAATCAAGACCATGGTCTCAGATTTAGATGAGCTGATTCTCATCCCAGCTGCTTCACACTCGGCTGCAAACCGCTCCAGCGAAAACTGAAGATCACGTTCGGATGAAGCCAAAAGGACCACATCATCTGCAAAAAGCAGTGACCTGATCCTCAGGCCACCAAAACGGATGCCCTCCACACCTTGGCTGTGCCTAGAAATCCTGTCCATATAGGTTATCAACAGAATCAGTGACAAAGGTCAGCCTTGGCGGAGTCCAACTCTCACTGGGAACGAGCCCGACTTACTGCCTGCAATGCGGATCAAGCTCTGACACCGATCATACAGGGACCTAACAGCCCGTGTCAGAGTAAGTAAGTAAGTAAGTAAGTAAAAGTTTATTTATAGAGCGCCTTTCACAGATATAAATCACAAAGCGCTGTACAACATGAGTAAGATCAGGGCAAATACCTCTAACCAATAAAAACATCAGAAAAACAATAGCAGTGATAAATAGTAAATAAAATCAGGAGTATAAACAAAGTGAAGGTGTGAACCCGAACAAAGCCATCTTTTAGAACATTTAGGGAGGGAACGCCTGGATGAAAAGGTGAGTTTTTAGATGATTTTTAAAGACATCTACAGTGTTAGAGAGATGGAGATTTGAAGGCAGACTGTTCCAAAGTCTGGGGACAATAGACTGAAAGGCCCTGTCCCCTTTGGTTTTCAGTCTGGTTCGAGGAACAGCCAGGAGGTTTTCAGATGTGGATCTGAGTTTCCGAGAGGTGGTGTGTGGGGATAAAAGCTCAGATAGGTAGCTTGGAGCCTGGTTGTTAAGAGCTCTATAGGTCAGGACTAAAACTTTAAACTGAATTCTATATTCTACCGGGAGCCAGTGGAGGGACTGTAAAACTGAGGTGATGTGAGCTCCTCTGCTGGATTTGGTTAGGAGTCTGGCTGCTGCATTTTGGATGGCTTGAAGGTGTGAGAGGGAGGTTTTGCTGAGACCAGTAAAAAGAGCATTGCAATAGTCTAAGCATGATGATACAAAGGCATGGATGATTTTTCCAGATCTGCAGTAGAAACCAGTTTACGGACTTTTGAAATGTTTTTTAGTTGGAAGAAACAAGAGCGGGAGATGGTTTTGACGTGAGTCTAAACTTAAAACTGGATCAAAAATAACTCCTAGGTTTCTAATGTTGGCCTTGGCTGATGGGCAAAAAGAGGCAATTTCTTGCTCGATTTTTGGCTGAAGTTCCAGGGGTGCAGCGATCAGGGTCTCTGTCTTGTTAGCATTGAGGACAAGAAAGTTGCTGGACAGCCAGTTACTGATCTGGGTCAGGCAGAGTACAAAGGTGGCCAGCCTGTCCAACTGGTGTGGCATAAAGGACATATAGAGCTGTATATCGTCAGCATAGATGTGGTAGGAGATGTCTGGGAAAGACTGAACGATGCCAGCTAGGGGAAGAATATAGAATGTGAATAGTAGAGGCCCTAGAACTGAACCATGTGGGACCCCGCATGTTAGAGAGGCAGTATCTGAAGAGAAGGTTTCGGACTTCACTGTGAATGTTCTGTTGGTGACATAAGAAGAGAGCCAGTCTAGAGCAGAACCTGAGATCCCAGCCAGGGCCTTTAACCTGTTTAGTAGAATGTTGTGGTCTACAGTGTCAAAAGCTACACTGAGGTCGAGCAGGACCATGACAGAGCATTTCCCTGCATCAGCAGCTATTAGGAGGTCATTATGCACCCTTACTAGAGCAGTCTCGGTTGAGTGCTGCTTCAGAAAGCCAGATTGGAAGGGGTCAGAGATCTTCAACAGTCCGATGGACCCTCCTCTCCAGAACTCCTGAATAGACCTTACCAGGAAGGCTCAATAATCAATCAATAATAAAAAAACAAAAAAAAAAACTAGAAGCATGTTAAATGGCTTGTACGCCTGTGCTTTTCCCAGTCATTCATCCGTTTGATTGTAAAAGCAGCACACAACACCTATTTACCCAATGCTGATAAGCTACATTGCCGCAACAGCTGCCAAACAATCATAACCACCAAGCCTTCTAACTACCATCCAGCAGATGAGGTGGGTGAAGTGCCCTGCCCAAGGACACAAGACAGATGCAACTGAGGACTGAACCAGCAACCCACCAACAGTGGACACGCTTCCAACTCCTGAGCCACTGACTAGACACTAAATAAATTTGACATTTCCAAACCTTTAATAGAGAAATTGACATGTTTTGATATTTGATAGTGATTGGCAGTATGTTTGTGCAAATGTTTTGTGGCAGACACGGAAGCAGACCAAGTTTAACATCTACTTGTTTCTGCAATATAACAGGACTCTTGTTTGCTCTCTAACCCTGGATGGTCCCCAATTTGCAGAGTCAACATAAGATGATGGATCTGCATTGAGCATCCTTCCTCGTAGTAGGATTACAAAACATTCATTATTCAATACATAAAAGCTTCATAATGAAGAGCTCAAAGGAAATTGTACAATTTGTTGGACTGGTAAACTCAGACAGGCATTATCTTCAGACAAAGATGGGCTGAATGTCAATGAGAAATAATTTAATCATGGAAGAAAAAATGTTTTATGAACCCGGCAATGTATGGAGATGCTTGGCATTTTTGGTATTTGTGCCAAAAAAAAGTCCTTTGGTTTTTATTGTATTCCATACAAATCTCATTTTTTGTTAACATATTATAAAATCCAGGCTGCCTTTGGAAAATCTCATCTGATTTTTGTGCCTTTTTTATTGATTTATGATTACAGCTTTATGAGTCAGAGCAGTCTACCTGTGCCATTTGCTTTTTATATCGATGCAACACATTTTACTCATAAATTCATGACAAATGGCTCAATTCTTAATCTAATGTCTGATTTTTCTAAAATCAACCATAACCATGGATGAACTTTTCTCCCAAATCAAGTTTCCAATAAAGAATTTCTTTCTTCAGGGGTATTAAAATTTGATCAGGGTACATTGGAATAGTCCAACGAACCAACATGTCAAGGAACACGCCTGAAATGCTGATAAAAATAAACCAGGAGCATCTTACACACAGAGCACAGCCTGTACCTCCCACTTCCACTCTGCGGTGTTGATGTGTTTGACTCAACTCATCGTTCAGCTCATTTTTTTCCCACCTTCTTACATTGCAACCTACAAATAAATCAATACATGCACTTTAACAAACATATAGCTTTTTGTATGTGTGTTTGTTTGTGTGTAAAGTATAAAATTTGACGGCGTGTCAAGCTGTGCTGTTAAGTCATTCAGACACTGTTCTGCAGTGCAGTTGATGCCTGTGCCAAGAACAAAGCACCCTTATCTATCACAAAAAGAGGAGGGAAATATTAACAGTACACAGCGCGTCCTCCTACTGGGTTCTTCATGGCTCTTTTCTGGCTCTTACAACCAACATTATCTGTTAATCGTCTCTCTCTGTCAGCCCACAAGCACGGAGAAACAAGTATATTATGACAGGTGTTTTCTAAACTGTAAAAATTGTTAACTGAGGTGGAAATGCTCTCCAGTCAGGATGAGTGGCTGACTTAATCAGAAGAAATGAGTCTACATTTAGCTTGATTTTTGCACCAGCCAGTCTGCCACAATAGCCGTGCTGCATAGAGACAAGCCTCTGCAGGGGAATCAGATTGAATAAGGCCTCCCACAGGCTGGAACTCATTTTGTCTGGCTGGAATTCCAACAATCCCCGCACAGCCACCAAAGAGAAGAAAATGTCAGACATGGCAAACACACTGACAGTGATTATCTGCTGTCAATACAATGTATCAGTTTGCAATTCCACAAGAATGCGTAAAGAGATGAGCCTGTTGATCTACCACTCCAAGAGTAATTCTAGCCTTGGCAACATGCCTTATTCATAATGCATTTAACGTGAATACATTTTATAGTCCTTTATGGATCATTACACAAAGAAATGGAATATATATTACTGTTGAAAAAAGATCTTTCTCCTTTGTTGGTGCAACACTGCATGGATTAATTTCCATCTAGCTGTGCTCAACATGTGTTCAGAGGAATGGAGAGCAGTAGCCGCTTACATTTAAAATCCTGCCAGTAAAAAAATTAAAAAATAAAACACACCCACCCTGCTGCAACAGCAGTCACTGGCTTTGGGTTTAGCTGCGTTGAGATTTGCCAAACACGTTGGTTATAATGAACTTGTTGGAAAAGTGTAAA